CTATCATGCTTTTCTACCTCACAAAGCTGCTATTGCTGAACCATTGCACAGATTACTTGACAAGAATGCGTGTTGGCGCTGGACCAAGGTCCATGAGGCCAGTTTCAATGAGGTCAAAGCTTTGCTTACATCCAATGCGGTGTTGGCTCATTTTAATGAGCAGTTGCCAGTGTGCCTGGCTTGCGATGCCTCACCCTACAGTGTGGGCGCTGTTCTTAGCCATTTGACGGCTGATGGGACTCAGGTCCCTGTGGCTTACTATTCTAGGACTTTATCTGCTGCTGAGCGCAACTATGCTCAAATTGATAGGGAAGCTTTGGCTCTTCAGGTACAACAGCTTTAATACCAACTTTTGCCTTGCACTTTCTCTGAAGTGTTTTCCCCTGTAAGAGCTGTTCATGTTTTTCTGTATTTTTCTGAGGCTTGAAAATTGCATTCCAATACATCTCTTCTTGATGTATTGAGTTTACAGTACATTCCTGTTGAAACTGAGAAGGGTGCTATAGCTGTATTTTGTTTCTTTGACTTCAAAGTTGCCCTGGCTGCCCAAACTTCAAAATATGAAAAGGGACAGTAGAAGGGACACCCTTGCCTTTGGAAGACTACCTTTGAAGCAAAGACTAAGACTGGATTTTCACCCAGAACTCTTGGTCTCCCGTAATAAAGGCAAATCACAACACTCCATCTATAAGAATTTCATTAAAATGTTCTTCTCCTTTGAAATAAATTTCAAAGCAAGCAAATCTTTCTTCTGAGCTGGTGATTGATCAGAATGGAATCTGCTTGTCAGTTTGAAGGAGAACAGTAGGACCACAGTGTCAGAGAACTATAAGAATGGGACTTCCATAATTTCTACCCATTCTGGCCTTTATAGGACACCAATTTGGGAAAAGCTGGGTTAGAGACTCCAAGCAGAACCAGCAAGCAATTGAGAAAAGGATGTTCAACTTCTGAGAAGGTCCACCAATTATTAACTTTCCTACAGAGTGGACCAAACTTTGAGGGGTCTTTGGTGCTCTCTGAGCTTGCTTTTTTCTTGCAGATGTTTCATTACCCTATCTAGTAACATCTTCAGTGCTAGTAAGGACTAATATTTGCTGTCAGTTTATATAAATCTTAAAGGTCTTTAAATCAGGCTTCTCAAGCCCTCAAGCACTCCTTACTAGCACGGATGGTGTTACCTAGTCAGGGTAATGAAACGTCTGCAAGGAAACAAGCAAGCTCAGAGAGCACCAAGGACCCCTCATTTCAACCCTGAGCTATAAATATTCTCCATCAATGGGACCAATTTTTTTTTTGCTAAACTTTGGCTGATTCCCCCAATTTCAGTGCAAGGTCCAACACTTACTGTGGCAGGTTGGGATGTCACAATACTTCCAGTAGATCCCTTCTTCGTTCTCTGAGATGTAGCACCAAGGCTGTACATCACCGTCCGGATTTCGGCAGTAATTGTGACTGCCCAGCCCCCACTCGCCATTGGGATACTTGGCCGTGTTGTAGGCATGTTCTCGTGTCTGGTTCCAGTAGAGGCAAGGCTTCCCAGCGGATCCAGGCACAGTTCTGTTCTGCAATCCCCGATAATCAGCTCCATTCACCATAAAACATTCAGATAATTCTGGGGAGTAATCAGAGGGAAGAGAAATGGTAGGAGACAGGTTTCTCCATGTTTTCTCCTGCATCTTTTAATTTTCTATATAGGGGTGGTGATGGTTATTATCGTGCATTTCCTCCCCATTCACTGAAGAACAAAGTCACACAAGGCTATTTTGAGACAAATCATCAACTCTTGATGATTGCATGGATGTTCTTCAACTTCTCAGACCCAACTCTTAGCAAAGTCAGCCAAGCAATGCCTTCTCTTCACACCTAAGTCATATTTGATTGCTGCTTTATGATGAAACATAAGTGTTTGGTCACTTCCAACCCAAGACATATCTCTGATCAACAATCCCCCTTTCCTTTTCTCTCTTGACAACCACAGCAATTATCTCTGTATCATATGCATCCGATAAACTGAACTGCGATGCACAAAAACTATAGATATCTGCCTTTGAAGTGGTGCAAAAGTCTGTTTTGATTTTGCCGCAGAAGAGTAACACAGCTATCCCCCCGGAAGCTATTACATACAAACAAAGTTGTCCTCACAACAACCCAGAGAGCTTGGTTAAACTGAGCTATAGTAACCAGCTCAAGGTCATCTAAGAAACTTATGGTAGCCTGCCAGGAAAACAATTCACAGTTCCTCATGGATGAAGAACTTGTGGCTCTCCTGGTATTGCTGAAACTGTAACTCCCAGCCATTGGCCATAGCTGCTGGGACTGCTGGGAGTTATAGTTCAGCAACATCTAGAAGGCAACCAGTTCCTGGTGAGTCACATATATACACACACAAATATATGTACAGATACAAATTACATGATCAAGAAAACAAAGGGCTTGCAAATTTAAAAAACCTAAGCCTTCTGGACTAGTGAATTTGTATTTGGTCAGAGATTAGTGGCATGTCCATACAACAAGCTTCAGTCAGTCAGTTAAAATATAGCAAATTCACATACAAGTTACTAAGCTTGGTTATTTTTAACCTCTGTCAATTTTTGTGAGTTGGTGTGTTGGGTGAATTTAACTTTTTTGGTTAATGAATGATTCAGTGCATTGTGCAAACCAGGAAAATTAATTCAAGTTAAGTTGTGTGAATGCAGCCAATGCCCTTAATTGACTCAGGTTGTCAGTGAGCATTGCAATTATAATCAGGAAATCCTATTGAATGTTTTTTTCTTAGAGAGGGATAACAATGACATTGATAAGACTGACACAGTGGGAAAGTAGACCTTGTTTAGCGACTGTTCTCATTTAGTGATTGTTCACATTTAACAGTCGTGATGAAAAAGTAAGTTTAAGACTGTTCCTCATATTTAGGTCTATAAAGCAAAGGAAAGCTTAAATAAGACCACAAATGCAGTCGTAGTTTCATTTAGTGACTGTTAATGACGAAGTTGCCAGTCCCAATTAGGACTATCATTTATATATATGATTCAATTATTCAATCAGGCATAATTTATGCAGGACAGCTGTGACATCCTATATCATCATGACTTCTGGAACTTCATTTCTAGATGAGGAAGAGATCCCAAATTTTTAAACAATCTTCATAAACGCATGGCACAACATAGGACAACATCAGGACAAGATTCAGCAGTCCATCTGCATTTAAAAGACACTCTTTTGAAGATAGCAAAGTCCACATTTTGGACAGAGAGGACCACTGGTTTGAAAGAGGGGTCAAAGAGGCCATCTATGTCAAAACTGAACAGCCCTCTCTCAACTGAGGGGGAGGGATACGGCACCATCTATCTCCAATCTACAACACAGTCCTTTCAACAGTTCTAAGAAGGCTCCACATCCATTTGCACTACTCAGGTGACCCTGACAACACAGATAAACGTCCAGGTAGCCTCAACGACTCTCTAAAACAGCGGTTCTCAACCTGTGGGTCGCGACCCCAATTGGGGTCGAACGACCATTTCACGGGGGTTGCCAAACAACGCAGTCCGCCATTTTTTTCCCCCTTTTCCTTAGCTGTGCTACTCCCTCTTATTCTATTGGCTTTTGAAAGCCAATAGAAAAGACTCTATTCAAGAGACTCTATTCTATTGGCTTTCGAAAGCCAATAGAATAGACTCTCTTGAATAGAGTCTAATTCTATTGGCTTTCAAAAGCCAATAGGAATTGTCCAGGCTGTCTCTGCCCTGCTGAGCCCGCCAAAAGTCCCAGTCTGCAAACGGTGCTGCAAGTTGTCTGCAGCTAAGGGGAGCTTTCTGGACGTTTCCACCCTTCCCTGCTGAGCAACTACTAAATGTAAGTAAAAGAGGGCCAGGGGTGGGAGGTGGGAGGCCGGTGGGCGCAGGGAGGGTTGCTGGCGCGCGTGGGGCCCACCGGGTACCTTACCTCCCTTGGGCTGGGCCAGCTGGTGGCCCAGCCGGTGGTCGCCCTGCGCCCTCGCTGCCGCGTGCCATGGCCGCCCAGGAGCGCCTGGGTCTGCCTGCCGCTGCACCGAACGTGCGGTGGCCAAGGTAAGGCTACCGGAGCAGCGGCGGGCGCAGGGAGGGTTGCTGGCGCGCGTGGGGCCCAGCGGGTGCCT